AGGGATTAATGTTAACAAGACAGAAAATCAGTGGTCTTTAAAGTTAAATTAAGTATAAAGGTCTTCTCCTTTCTAGGATAACCCTTGCTTTATTTAACTTTTATTGAATTTTTATTACATCATCTTTGCTTCTTGTTCACATTCCAGCTTCTGCATATGTTTTTTATTTCTTTTTTCTCACATGAAAGGTTCTTTGTATCAGGTTGGTTACCCATTGGTTACTCTTCTTCTTTGTCTTGGTAATCCTCAAGTATTCCATAACAACCTAAGCTCTCAGATGGAGCAACTCTACAAGCTTTTACGAGTAAGTTTGCTTGTATTTTGGTTCAGGGGATGAACAGATCAGTGATAAAATCAACTTCTTAATTTTCCCTCTGTTGTCATATTGATATGCTGTTTTATAGGAGGGTTTGAGTCATTTGTTAAGTCATTTGTTAAGTCTTCTGTTCCAAGTGCTAAATTGAAACTTTGGGTGTTATGCAGGACAAGAACCACCGTTTCATGGCTTTGGACTGTCTCCATCGAGTTTTGAGATTTTATTTGAGTGTTCATGCAGCTAATCAGCCCCCAAATCGTATATGGGATTATTTAGATAGTGTGACTTCTCAACTCTTAACAGTTTTAAGAAAAGGATTGCTTACTCAGGATGTTCAACATGATAAACTTGTTGAATTTTGTATGACCATAGCAGAACATAACCTTGATTTTGCAATGAACCATATGATATTAGAATTGCTGAAGCAAGATAGTCCAAGTGAGGCAAAGGTTATTGGTTTACGTGCTTTGCTGGCTATTGTCATGTCACCTTCAAGCCAGCATGTTGGCTTGGAAATATTTAGAGGTAATGGTTAACTAGCATGTAGCCTGAACAATGAATGTGCAAATTCTCTTTATCTGACATGGAGTTGTGTTGCACGAACAGGTCATGATATTGGCCACTACATACCAAAAGTGAAGGCTGCAATTGAGTCAATATTGAGGTCATGTCATAGGGCCTACAGTCAAGCTCTTCTAACTTCTTCAAAGACCACAATAGGTAATTCCTTGTGTAAAATCTTTAGGTGTATAATTGGTAGAAAAGTTGGATGCAATTTCTGCTTTGGAGAAGTTACTAGAGTTATCTAAGGTGTATACTGTTAAGCATAGGAGAAGCTATGACAGTTGACTTGCTTGTCCTTCAAATAAGGATGCACTTTCCACCACCAATAGGTCCAATACTCCTTTTCTGTCTAGGTCCATGTCAGTATGTATGCTTGGGTTTTACTTTTAAGGTTTAATTTGGTTGTTCTATGGATGCAAAGGCAATTACCAACTAAATGATATGATTTTCCAGATGCTGTAACCAAGGAAAAGTCTCAAGGGTACCTCTTTAGGTCAGTGCTTAAATGCATTCCCTACCTGATACAAGAAGTTGGCCGAAGTGATAAGATAACTGAAATAATACCTCAGCATGGTATAAGTATTGACCCTGGTGTTCGTGAGGAAGCAGTTCAGGTACTGAACCGGATTGTAAGATACCTTCCACATCGTCGCTTTGCAGTTGTAAGAGGAATGGCCAACTTTGTCCTCCAGCTTCCTGATGAGTCCCCTCTTCTCATTCAAACATCATTGGGACGGTTGTTAGAACTTATGCGGTTTTGGAGAGCATGTCTAATTGATGATAAGCTGGAAGGTGATGCTAAAGATTCCAAGTGTGTGGGGCAGGGAAATGACAGATTTAAGAAATCTTCTTTCCATCAACCCGGAGAAGCTATTGAGTTTCGTGCATCAGAGATAGATGCAGTTGGCCTAATTTTTCTTAGTTCTGTAGATAGCCAGATTCGTCACACAGCATTAGAGCTATTGCGCTGTGTTCGTGCCTTAACGAATGACATACGAGAGCTTATGCTTCTGCAGCAGCCAGATCATAGTATGAGAATTGAAGCTGAACCTATTTTTCTAATTGATGTCCTGGAAGAAAACGGGGTGAGACATATTAACTATAAAATTTTCCCCATAATTCATTTTCTTAACTTTCTATTTGGAGTGCAATCACTGCTAAACTTAATCTACATATTGCAGGATGAAATTGTTCACAGTTGCTATTGGGACACAAGTCGTCCATTTGATTACAGACTAGAATCTGATTTAATTCCTCCCGAAGTGACTCTTCAATCTATAATATTTGAGAGTCCTGATAAGAACAGGTGGGCTCGGTGTCTCAGTGAGCTCATCATATATGCTGCTGAGCTTTGCCCAAGTTCTGTTCAAGAAGCGAAGTAAGTAAAAGCTGATAATCATACATTTTTTGTTACATCTTTGCTCAGATATGTGTGTTGCAAGTTTGCAACCTTGTCACTAACTTCTCTGCAAATTAATTTCTGAATGGATTAACGTCATGAATGCAATGGTGAGATTGTCAATGCACGGTGAAACAATAGATCTCACTTGGAGAGGAGGGACTGCATGGATCTTCTCATAAATCAATCTCATTTGGCAGGGTGGAAGTTTTGCAGCGTCTTGCCCATATCACACCTTTTGAGTTAGGTGGAAAGGCTCATCAGTCACAAGACGTAGACAACAAACTGGATCAATGGCTTATGTACGCTATGTTTGTATGTTCATGCCCACCAGATGGCAGAGATATTGAAAGCTTAGCAGCAAGGAGAGAGCTTTACCATCTCATTTTGCCCTCTTTGAAATCTGGATCAGAAGTAAACACAGTAAGTTCTTGTTCATTAAACTTGGATGAAATTTGTACACCATGCTGGGAGTTGGACAAACTAGATTATGAAAAAGAGAGGGACAGAGGGATGGGTCAGTCACTCTTTTTGTCTCCAATTACTGTACTAAAGGACCATAACATTCAGTTATCCTTTTTATGTAGAAGAAAAACTGTATATAACATATTCCCATCTCTGTTCTTATGCCATAATGGCCATGATTGACAATAAGTTGCTTCATATGTTCTTCACTGTTTGATTTGCTCTTTTTTTTTGGGGGGGGGGGGGGGGGGTACAAATCGATTGGATTGACGATCCAGCATAATATTTTTAAGTTTTGATAGTTAGAAGTAGTCTGATATCATTTTGTGTAGAAGTATATGTGCATCATTTCTCAAAGCATCCTTTTCCTTTTAACATTTCTTTTTCTTTTTCTTTTGTGGATTCAGCATGCAGCCACCATGGCTCTTGGCCATTCACACCTGGAATCTTGTGAGTTCATGTTTAGTGAGCTAGCTTCATTTATGGATGAGGTTTCTTCAGAAACAGAAGGAAAACCTAAGTGGAAGGTATTGACTATAATTAAATGGCTTCAATCAAATGTCCATTGTCTGCATAGTTCTCTTGTTTACTGCTTCCAGATGTTATAAATATTTTAGTATCAGGTGTTAAGCCTTGGGAAGAATAAAATAATTTTTCTATACTCCATGAGTTGATACACAAAGGAGAAATAAATTTCATTTTAAATAAATAGACAAAGATGTGCAACAGGATCAGAAACACCAAAATACCTAGGGGGTGAACTCACTTTTGCTCCTGCTTTTGCCTTTTACTTCCTAGTTTTTAGATTTAATTTCATAAACCTTAAAACTGAAGTCTCCCATTTACGATGACAATGTACTTTCATTTCTGTTCTGAATCAGCTAATCATTTACCTAGCTGTTGAGACATATTACATTTATGAACTTTTAACAGTCCATTTATCTTCAAAGAAATGAATATTAAAGTGATGAAGTAGGATCTTATCTTAGTATAATTAAATCACTTTTGGATGCTTGTATCAAGGCACTTATGATATATGTCATTCTTTATCAATGCAGAGCCAAAAACTGACACGGCGTGAGGACCTTCGTGTCCACATTGCACATATATACCGCACTGTTTCTGAGAATATCTGGCCAGCTTTTTTGGCCCGTAAGCCAGTTTTGCGACGCCATTATCTTAAGTTCATCGAAGACACAACCAGACACATCACACAAGCATCTACAGAGAACTTCCAAGAAACACAACCTCTCCGTTACGCACTTGCTTCTGTTTTAAGAGCTCTGGCTCCTGAATTTGTAGCATCAAAATCAGAGAGATTTGATCCTAGAACAAGGAAGAAATTATTTGATCTTCTACTCTCCTGGTCAGATGATATAGGAAGTACATGGGGACAGGAAGTTGAGCGCTACAAGGCTTCACAACACATACGATCAAAAGACTCTGTAGACAGATTTTCATTTGACAAAGAATTGAGTGAACAAATTGAGACAATCCAGTGGGCATCCATGAGTGCTATGGCTTCACTTTTGTATGGACCTTGCTTTGATGACAATGCAAGAAAAATGATCGGTCGGGTTATATATTGGATCAATAGTTTATTCATTGAGCCTGCACCTAGGGCTCCATTTGGCTACTCACCAGCTGACCCACGAACCCCAGCTTATTCCAAATATATGGAAGGAAGTCGTGGAGCTGCAGTTCGTGATAGGCACAAGGGTGGCCATCATCGGGTTGCCTTAGCAAAGTTGGCTTTGAAGAATCTTCTTCTTACAAATTTGGACCTCTTTCCTGCTTGCATTGATCAGGTATTTCACTTCTTTGATATGTATGCACCTTATAGCAACAAGAAACAGATATTGTATTCTGAAGTTTATGGATTATTGTTTGGGTGAGTTACATTGCAGTGATTAGAAGTAGTCAGAGAAGTTTAACATCTGAAGTGCATATAGATTTCTATCCGTGAAGAAGAAAAAGGAAATTGATATTTTCCTTAGTGCTCTTAAGCTTAAATCATTTTCTACTTCTACATTTTCTCTTTTATGCCAATTCAGTGGCACACTCTAACTCTCTGGGACTTACCCTCTTTGATCATCTTTCTATAAACTAGTTTAGTTTATTTTGAATCATGTACTACTTTTCTTGCATGAAAATTCAAGTTTACATTTCATATTTAATGATTTTTTTTTTTTAATATTTTTCAGTGCTACTACTCCGATGCTTCTATAGCTGATGGTTACTTTAGTGTCCTTGCTGAGGTCTACATGCGCGAAGAAATACCAAAATGTCAAATTCAGAGGCTTTTGAGCCTGATTCTCTACAAGGTGGTTGACCCATCTAGACAAATTCGTGATGATGCTCTTCAGATGCTTGAGACACTCTCTGTCCGTGAATGGGCTGAGGATGGCACTGAAGGCAGTGGAAGTTATAGGGCTGCTGTTGTTGGTAATCTCCCTGATTCTTACCAACAATTCCAATACAAACTCTCATGCAAACTTGCCAAAGATCACCCGGAGTTGAGCCAGCTACTGTGTGAGGAAATCATGCAGAGGCAACTTGATGCTGTTGACATAATTGCACAGCATCAGGTCTTAACCTGCATGGCTCCATGGATTGAGAACCTCAATTTTTGGAAACTCAAGAACTCAGGCTGGAGTGACAGATTATTAAAAAGTCTTTACTATGTGACATGGAAGCATGGGGATCAGTTCCCTGATGAGATTGAGAAACTTTGGAGCACAATTGCTAGCAAGTCCAGGAACATCAGTCCCATTTTAGATTTCTTGATTACAAAAGGGATTGAAGACTGTGATTCAAATGCATCTGCCGAAATAAGTGGTGCATTTGCCACATACTTCTCAGTTGCAAAGCGTGTAAGTTTATATCTAGCACGAATATGCCCACAACGCACAATTGATCATCTGGTTTACCAGTTGGCTCAGCGAATGCTGGAAGATAACATTGAACCCATTGGACCAAGTGCAAATAGGGGTGATGTTAATGGAAATTTTGTTTTGGAATTCTCTCAGGGTCATGCAACAGCACAGATTGCATCTGTTGTGGACAGTCAGTCACATATGTCGCCTTTACTTGTTCGAGGTTCATTTGATGGTCCATTGAGGAATACTAGTGGGAGCCTGAGCTGGAGAACAGTAGGTGTTGGAGGACGAAGCACCTCAGGCCCACTAAGTCCCATACCTCCTGAGTTGAATATTGTTCCTGTTGCTGCAGGCAGGTCTGGACAGCTCCTTCCAGCATTGGTAAACATGTCAGGGCCTCTAATGGGGGTTCGAAGTTCAACAGGAAATGTACGGAGCAGACATGTTTCTCGGGACAGTGTAGAATACCTCATTGACACTCCAAACTCAGGTGAAGATATCTTGCATTCTGGGATTAGTATGCATGGTGTTAATGCCAAGGAACTTCAGTCAGCGCTGCAAGGGCATCAGCACTCACTCACACATGCAGATATAGCACTCATTTTACTTGCAGAGATTGCATATGAGAATGATGAAGACTTCCGTGAACACTTGCCTCTGCTTTTTCACGTCACGTTTGTTTCAATGGATAGTTCTGAGGATATTGTGCTGGAACACTGCCAGCACTTGCTCGTCAATCTGCTCTACTCGCTTGCGGGTCGGCATTTGGAGCTGTATGAGGTGGAGAACAGTGATGGAGAAAACAAGCAGCAGGTTGTCAGCCTGATCAAGTATGTCCAGTCAAAGCGTGGGAGCTTGATGTGGGAGAATGAAGATCCCACTGTGACAAGAACTGAGCTTCCTAGTGCTGCACTGTTGTCTGCCCTTGTTCAGAGTATGGTTGATTCAATATTCTTCCAAGGAGATCTCCGTGAGACTTGGGGGACTGAAGCACTTAAATGGGCTATGGAGTGCACATCAAGACACCTTGCCTGTCGCTCACACCAGATCTATCGTGCACTGCGGCCTAGTGTTACTAGTGACACATGTGTGGCACTTCTTCGTTGCCTTCATAGATGCATGGGGAATCCAGTTCCTCCAGTTTTGGGCTTCATCATGGAAATATTACTGACACTGCAAGTGATGGTGGAGACAATGGAACCAGAAAAGGTGATACTTTACCCCCAGCTCTTTTGGGGTTGTATAGCCATGATGCACACAGATTTTATTCATGTCTACTGTCAAGTACTTGAGCTTTTCTCACGGGTGATTGATCGTTTATCATTCCGGGATACAACAACAGAAAATGTACTCCTCTCAAGCATGCCTCGAGACAAATATGATACTAGTGATGTTGCAGACTTCCAGCGGTTGGAGTCTAGGGGCTATGAGTTGCCATCATCCAGTGGGAATCTGCCAGCATTTGAAGGAGTGCAGCCTCTCGTGCTTAAAGGACTCATGTCAACTGTTAGTCATGGTGTATCTATTGAGGTCCTCTCTCGTATGACGGTGCACTCATGTGACTCCATATTTGGAGATCACGAGACCAGACTCCTCATGCACATAACGGGTTTGCTTCCCTGGCTTTGCTTGCAGCTCAGCAAAGATGCAGTGGTGGGTCCAGCTTCACCTCTCCAACAACAATACCAAAAAGCATGTTCTGTCGCTGCCAACATCTCAATTTGGTGCCGAGCAGAATCCTTGGATGAATTATCTACTTTATTTATGATTTACTCAAGAGGTGAGATTAAAAGCATTGATAATCTCCTTGCTTGTGTGTCACCACTGATGTGCAATGAATGGTTCCCTAAGCACTCAGCGCTAGCTTTTGGCCACTTGTTGCGGCTCCTGGAGAGAGGACCTGTTGAGTATCAACGTATAATATTGCTCATGTTGAAGGCATTGCTGCAGCACACCCCAATGGATGCTGCTCAGAGCCCACACATGTATGCAATTGTATCCCAGCTGGTGGAGAGCACTTTATGTTGGGAGGCACTGAATGTGCTGGAAGCCCTTCTGCAGAGCTGCAGTTCGTTGACAAACTCTCAACCACACGACCCCGGGTCATATGAAAACGGAACTGATGATAAGATGCTAGCTCCTCAGACCTCATTTAAGGCTCGAAGCGGGCCCTTACAATACGCTATGGGAGCCGGTTTTGGTGTAACTCCTACTTCAGCTCTGCAAGGCGGGTCAACCGAATCAGGGATGCCACCTAAAGAGGTGGCTTTGCAAAACACACAGGTGATCCTTGGCCGTGTGCTTGACAACTGCGCTCTGGGGAGGAGGAAGGATTACAAAAGGTTAGTGCCTTTTGTCACCACAATTGGGCATCCCTGACCTACATGCTAATATGCATCTACCTCCACTTTGAGCATGCATTATGTACTCTTGGTTAAAATCATTGAGGGAAACTTGGAAGCTGATTCTGTAAATAGGCATCTAAATTTGTAGTTCTGGTTGGTGACATAATGGTTTCAGCATTTCCAGTTCCAGGCCCCATTGCTCAAGTGTATCCATCACCTATATTTTTTTAGTTGTTTAACAATTTCCTTTTACTCCTTTTTTTTTTTTTTTTTTTCCTTTTTGATTTGTTCTCTCTTGTTCCTTTCCTTTGAAAACAAAAAAGGGGAATTCAAAAGTGAGAAAAGGAAGAACATGGAGGGAGAAGTTGACTGGGGCTTCACAATAATGTCCGCTTAAGCAAAAAGGTGAACCTAGTGAGGGTATTTTGTTCAAAAGAATACAAGAAATATATATTTGTCAATAGAATTTGGAGAGCAAAGGAGCAATGGTAAAATTTTAGGGGGTTCTAGAATATTCTGAGCCATGCAGAACCTTTCAAATATGTGAAGACAATTACCATGTGAGAAGATCCGCAGAGTCCACACCACATGAAGAAAAGGGTATATTTTTTTTCACAAATTACAATACATATTATATTTAATCTCATGTCTAATCACTATATTACATATTAATAATATTACTCCTTCCATTATAAAATAATAGATATTTTTTAATTTTAT